TAATTATAATATTTCATTTTAATTTATTTCATTTGGGTTACACAGCGTTTTTGGCGTTTTTTTATATGATAAGGGTAACAAACGAGCACACAGTCCACCTGAAGGTAAGTGGTTGCTGTGGCCCATAGACATCTACATCTATCCTCGATTACGAATCAAAATGCAGATGCGTTGTCACCCGTGAGGACTAAGATGGAATGCCTCGTTTCCAGTAAAAAGGGTCTCCGGTTCTCTATACTCACCATACGAAACACAGCAGCATTAAGCTGCTATTTTACGCTGCTATTCTGTGAGAGCGTGGTCTTTCCCCGGTCGAGCTGACCCATTCGTGCTACAACTATACCAGTAATATAGCTGCATCATGGCTCTACCACGTAATACTTACAATACTGTGTATAATATTACAGTATGGCCAAGTGAGGTTACACAATTTTTTTTTCAATTAATTACAAGGCGTGCGCTTGTGCTTGTGAAATGTGTAGGTGTATAATATATTAATTATTTTGAGAAGTTATTTGTCTATTTTTAATTTAAATAGATGTAATGTAATGATATAACTATCTTCATACGTAAGTTCCAAATGTAAATATAACTATACCTACTTTCTTTAAAACGTCGACAGTTTTATTATCTATACAAATAAATAAAATTGAAGTGTCTGTTTGTAATGTCAAAATTACTGCTTTTTACTAAATGCATATGAAAGTATATACGGTACTAATAACAAAAATACAATTTTTAAAGTTTTCTCGTCTGTCAGTCTGCCTGTCTGTTTGTTCCGGCTAATCTCAGAAACGGCTGGACCGATTTTGACGGGACTTTCACTGGTAGATAGCTGATGTCACAAGGAGTAACTTAAGCTAATTTTATTTTAGAAAAAGAATTAGAGTTCCGCACAAAAAAATTAAAACCTCAAATAACACGCGGGCGTAATCGCGGGGAACAGCTAGTAATAAATAAATATACCGAATAAACTCTACTGCTAATACTCTTTGTTCACAGACTCGCCCGGCATAAAAGATCCTACCACATACAAAGATCCTATCACACACACAGTGGACACTGATAAAGAAGCATCAAGCATCTTTATCTACGTAAAAAGGAAATGAAAATAATTGTTCGGTTTTGTTCTTGTTTATTTTGCAACACTCTGTCTTGCAGCTTGGCATATGCATTTATAGTGTAAGTTGAGTTGTTGTCCGAAGCCAAATCAATCACAGCTTCCATCGGACACCTGATGCTGTCTGTCTGTCAGTCCTAAATAGTCACATAAATATAACAAAGTTAATAACGATTCGGTTATACGTAAAAATAATTTTGTTTTTATGATTTATAACAAAGACCATATATAAAACCTTAACTTGCTTTTTCTATTTATTTTATTTATTTATCTTTTAATAGAACTAGAACTTACTTTTATAAAATTAAAGTAATAAACGAACTTATACACCATCTGATCGTAAGTGGATGTTGTGACCCATAGACATCTACATGTCTTCAATTGAGAATCAAAATGCAGATGCGTCGTCACCCCTGAGGACTAAGATAGTATGCCTCGTTTCCAGTAAAAAGGGTCTCCGGTTCTCTACACTTACCATACAAAACACAGCAGTGTTAAGCTGTTATTTTACGCTGGTATTCTGTGAGACCGTGGTCCTTCCCCGGTCGCGCCGACCCATTCGTTCTACAACTATACTTCTAATATAGCTGCAGCATGGCTCTACCACGTATAAACTTTTAACAAAACAAACTACAGCATAACTCTTCCGAGAAATAAGATGGAATGCCTCTCAGTCTGTAAGTATACTGCATTATACTCTCCAAATAACTAGATTCTGTAACTTTAATTTTCTTTTTCTTTTTTACTAGAGGATTTCTAGTGTAGTCTTTCAGCTTATCTAACGTTATTTTATTTATATACGAAATATTTTTCGTCTTCATTTTTGTTAAGCTTTATTGGCGTTCCGTGACAGCTAAGTATAGTGCTAACACAATAGCGTGAGCAACCACAATTTGTTAGCCACTGGACGTTACAACGGTGAGCTATACCAAATAGGGTTTTAAATAAAAATCTATTACTTTTAAAACCTATTCGAACAAAGGAATTCTTATTTTAGTGTAGAATAGCCCCCACAAAAATATATAAGGTACGTTGGGGTAAGATCGGTGATGGGGCAAGACCGTAGGATTCAAATTCCCGGCGAATTATGCTATATTTTGAAAAGCTAACAATATGCTACACGACGCCATTTCATCCTGCCCCGACCCTCAGTTCGCGCCAGTCACTCCGGCAAGTGGGACCTGTGCTGCGTGGCATTTTATAAAACAATGTAATTTTTGTATTATTTTTGTCCATCCGATCTTTCCCTATCACTTTTATTTACGATTTTTAGCGAGAATATGGCTTCTTTTGTTATTATTTTGTGTGGATACTAATTTTTATGAAGTTATAGCTAAATAAAGCTGGTCCATGCAGGGGTAAGATCGCTGTAGGCCGAGATCCGATGTTTCCCCTCGTGAGTGAAGATCGGATGAATATTATTCGATCTTTGCCTGTTACAAATATGGCAGTGGTTGTTAAACTTTCATTGGTCGTGTATATTTTTTCGTTGATTACTCAAGTGACTATGGGACTCAGTCTCGTTAGCAAGTCTGTATATTTAAAAGTAATAAAACAATACGATGGTTTTATTATTTTAAGTACATATTAAATATATTTTTTATAGGATAAGGGTGATAAAGGAGCACACAGTCCACCTGATGTTAAGTGATCGGTGCGGCCCAAAGACATCTATATCTATCCTCTATTACAAATCAAAATGTAATTTATAATAATTATTTAAAAAATAATTTATAACAATAAATGCCGCTTTGTTAAAATATTTATATCTTCCTTAACTCCTGCATTATCCCAGGGCATTTCGCCAGTTCTTACTGTTATTTTTTTTCCCCATATAAAATCAAATGCATCCGATCTTTCTCCTATATTGAGTAATTCCATCTTATGTCATAACAAAGTTTGAGAAACATAAAATTACAATTTCTTTATATCAGGGATAAGATCGGATGGCAAGAAACAAAAAAAGAGAAAATCGTTTGGAACATTTATGTTTCTAGTAATTTATAGATCATATTGAAATATGTTTTTGAGCGTTAAAGATAGGACAAATCTCTTTTATAAACTTTTTTCTCTAAGCAGTAGAAGTGGTTTTAAATTTAAGTCCGGTCTTACCCCTTAATGGCCAATTTTTCATTATGCATATAAAAAAGTATGTCTAGTTTTCGCACACCTTTAAAGCAGAAACCGTTGAGTTTACACAAGCAAAAGATTCTCAGAGCTAAACTACGTTTAACGATTAACGGTTTGCTCCATGTTCCATAAATCTGACTTATACGAATGTCGAGAAATTAAAGTTTTTGGCAGACTCTTCCAACTATTCGAAAATTCGTCCGGTATTACCCCAACGTACCTTAATAGCGTTAAATTTTAATAAGGAATAGTCTAATTAAAGTCATAGAGGAAACAACACGCGTCATTGACACCAATCCTTACATTACTCTGTGACCTTGCCAGGATTATTAAAAAGGATGATTGTTTATTATAAATGTATATTTTTGTAATATAAGTGTGATTCACAAATGAACATACAATCCAAGCATTTTTAAATTTACTTAAAGTGGTTTACAAGAGTATTAGTGATTAAATGAAACTAAACGGATTTTGTCGCGTTTAATTTAAACTTTTTAAATCCCGACGTTTCGGGTGCTTTACCACGGGTCACGAGGTCTAAGGTGTTTGACGTCCCGATGTCATAGTTAGCCCTTCAGTTTTTGAATATTAATTTTTAATCCGATCTATGCTGAACGAGCTTACCGTACCTTGAATTCTTGCAGTACTTATACAGCTAATAGGATATAGGATCCCAAGCAGATGGTAGCACGCATCCATCTTCTCTATTGAAATTAGGATGTTTTTTTAATTTCAATAGCCTCGCGAATCATCCTTGGTAGGAATTGGTGTTCTTTTGCAAGGATTTATGGTCTATTAAATCTAATGTGATGGCGGGGACGATCTTGAACATGTTCACAGACTGCATACTCCCTGAGCATCGGTGCTTCACGTCAGCAATATGTTCTTTTACGCGGGTTTATATAGATATTTCAGCAGTAGACTTGTATAGGCTGTTATGTATATATGTATATACGTATCTACTATATTAATAAAATCAATTATCATCATATTTGTTAATCTAAATAAATAGAATTGATATGAGAAGCGATCACAATTTTAAACAATTTGCTTGAGTCTAGGCAAAAAATTTTAGATTACACATACTGAAGAAATAAAAAAGTTGCCTAATGTGTTGGACATTATCTTAATTTTTTATCCCTGAGGTCTCCTGAAGACTAAGATGAAAGGTTTTGTGGTCTGTAATTCCTCTAACTCTCTTACCCTTCAAACTGAAATACAACAGAGTGTGGAAGTCTATCCAAATTTTATACAATATATGCCAAAATAAATCATCATCATCATCATTATCTTTACAGCCTATCAAAAGTCCACAGCTGAACGTAGGCCTCCTTTGTAGACTGCCTCACATGGGAGATATTTGCCACAGTTCCCACGTTTGGCGGGTGGGTTGACGACCGCGGCTTTTTTATTATTTTAGTTGTTACTACGAAGATGCTGCAGCCCATCCCTGTTTCATTTCTCTCTGTTGCCTCTCACGACATCTCCGGGATGATACGCTGTAGTGGATACTCCTACGCCGCCACTGCACGACACTAAATAAATAAAGAACCGATATTAACTTGTGAATCTTTCGGCCGTGTAAGAAAAAATAGTCAAAAAAGTTTAGTACCAAAAGAAAACAAACTTCCTTATAAATTGCTTTTATTTCAAAGGAATGGACAAAGTATTTGAATTATTTTACTTTTATACATTACTCCTCAATTAATAAAATAAAATAATTCAGATTTGTTTTAAGATCACGATGGGATTAATTAGTACAGATTCTGGGTATCCTCTGTGGTCCACGTAGTTTGCTCATCAGCTCGAATACAGGCTTTAATTCATCTTGAGTCACACCCTAAAATTTTAAATTTAAATTATTGATTGAGTTTAAAAATTTCTTGTGATGACAGCGTAAGGTATAATTCATCACCTTATTTCGTTCCTTGGATGTTCTTAGAGATGACCGTGGGAAATGCCAGAAAAATCGATAATTCTTCTGAAGGAAGGGATTAGGTGATAATTTTTTTCTAATGTTGATATTTACGATAACATCAAAAAGGTTTTTTTTATAGAATAAAGGTTAGCACATAGTGTGCTCGTTTCACAGTCAGAGGTAAGTGGATACTCTGGCCCATAGACATTTATTCTCAATTAAGAATCAAAATGCAGATGCGTTCTCACCCTGGAGGACTAAGATCGAATGTCTGGTTTCCAGTAAAAGATAGTCCGGCTCTACACTCACTATACGAAACACGGAAGTAAGCTGCTATTATACGTTGGTATTCTGTGAGAGCGTGTATGGTAGAACCTGGCCAAGCTGACTTGTTCGTGCTTCAATCATAATATAGCTGCAACGTGGCTCTACCACGTATAAAGTGTGTAGTGATTGTTCTCACCGTTCTAATTTATTCGTTTTTGGTTTTTGTTCATTTCATGTAGGTAGGTATATGTTGCATATGATATTATGTTAAATTAATAACAATACTCAGTCGTGTTTGGATTTTAATTATTTTATTTTTTTGATGGTGACAATATCAACCACTACCCATAGGTAAGCGACCACTATCGTCTATTTAGGTTTTACTCTGCAACGTAAGCGACCAATGTCACTTTAGGTTTTACTATTCTGCAACTAGATAATACGTACCAATGACGGTCACCGGTTTTCTTCACCGTCACCTAATGACATTAACACTGCTGGATTACGGATAGGATGTACCTCTACACACTATGTTCTCAGCTTACAATCGCGTGTTTGGTCGGTTCTAACCAATCAACAAACACGAGGTAAGCCGTCAGAGCCGTGCGTTCACCCACTGACTGCTGCCAGATAAATAATGCGTAGACACACAGAATGAGTAACAACCATTCAAATAGTATGTTCTACGTCCTAGAAGAGACGCCGAGATACGCGTGAGAGCTCACATGCTCAAACTTAATTACTAATTAGGATGTATAAGCGCCAGTTTGGGGCGCGTGGTCGGAGGAACAGAGTACGTTTTGGTTCGCGGTGTTTTGGCGTGTAGTGGCGGTGTAAGAACATCCACTACCGCATATTATCCCGTGGGTGTCGTAAGAGGAGACAGACTAAAAATAAAAAAAACTGCGGTTGCCAACCCGCTTGCCAAGCGTGGCAACTATGGCAAATATAGGCTGTAATAGATGGTTTGTTCTTGTACGTGGTAAGTACTATATTGCTTCAACGCTAACAACCTGCAACCTACGTCGGAGACTTGATGTTCTATTGCATCAGCACAATCAATCACATTTTCAAATAACATGCGCCTTTGGAAAAGCTGTGAAAGCCTCCTGGCTAACAGCGCAAACATCACCGTAAAACAGACTCTCGTCACTCTATGAGATGTCACATGTTACAAGTGCAACAAGAAGGATGGTATCCTAAGCAAAATATTACCTCATGTTGTCGGTAAATGACAGCGGAAATCATTCTTCCCCAAAGCATTTGCAATAAAAATGGCCCAGTTTTATCATTAGTCTGTAACAAATGAAGCTGCATCATATCGTCATGGGTATGGGCCTCGCCTGAAAAATAATTTAGAATATTTATTATTATTTTTTATTATTCATATTTTATATTAGTTGTATAGCAAAATTTTTAATTTTGGAAGAGTAAAGAGGACATGAGCGTCTACTGTAGTTGGTAAGCACACCTTCCCAACTACGGCAGAGGCTCATGTCCGCAGGTGCATTTCCTAACTACGGTAGAGGCTCATGTTCGCAGGTGTACTTCCCATCTACGGTAGAGGCTCATGTTCGCAGTTGCACTTCGTATCTACGGTAGAGGCTCATGTCCGCATGTGTACTTCCCAACTACGGTAGAGGCTCATATCTGCAGGTGGGCTTCCCAACTACGGTAGAGGCTCATATCTGCAGGTGGGCTTCCCAACTACGGTAGGGGATCACGTCCGGCGTCAAATTTTATCAGATGACTTATAATGATGATGTATCGTGTAGCAGATGATGGCGTAAGATAATCTACTACCCCATATATGAGGAGACACAGAGAAATATATATATATATATATATATATATATATCATCATCATCATTACAGCCCTTCACAAGTCCACTGCTGAACATAGGCCTCCCCCAAAGAATGCCACAAAGCACGGTCCTGAGCCACCTGCATCCATCGACTTCCTGCATATCTTACCAGGTCGTCACTCCATCTAGTGGGGGGACGCCCTACACTTCGCCTGCCGGTACGAGGCTGCCACTCGAGAACCTTTCTTCCCCATCGGTTGTCGGTTCTTCGAGCTATATGGCCGGCCCATTGCCACTTCAGCTTACTAATCCGTTGGGCTATGTCGGTCACTCTAGTTCTACTGCGGATATCCTCATTTCTGAGTTTATCACGCAGTGAAACTCCGAGCATAGCCCTCTCCATAGCTCGCTGAGCGACCTTGAGCTTCCTCATCCGGCCAGCAGTGAAGGACCACGTCTCAGTTCCGTATGTCATTACTGGCAACACGCACTGGGTGTACAGTCTCGTTTTCAAGTTTTGAGGTATACCTGACGAGAAGATGTGCCGTAATTTCCCGAACGCTGCCCAACCGAGTTGAATCCGTCGATTGACCTCTCGGTCGAAGTTGGACTTACCTAGTCGGACTATTTGTCCCAGGTAAACATACTCGTCAACAACTTCGAGCTTAGTGTTCCCAACAACTACCGGCATAGGTGTGACATGGACATTAAACATGATCTTTGTTTTGTCCATGTTCATCTTAAGACCTATCCGTTGGGAAACACTATTGAGGTCATTGAGCATAGTGCTTAGGTCCTCCAGCGATTCTGCCATAAGGACTATATCGTCGGCAAATCGAAGGTGAGTCATGTACTCGCCATTGATGTTGATACCGTATCCTTTCCAGTCCAGAAGCTTGAAAACATCTTCCAATGCAGCGGTAAAGAGTTTCGGGGATATGACGTCACCCTGTCTTACACCTCTCTGCAATTGGATAGGTTTCGTACTCTGGTTCTGTACTCGGATAGCCATCGTAGCCCTACTGTACAAGCACTTCAACACTTCGATATACCGACAGTCAACTTGGCATCGCTGAAGGGACTACAGCACCGCCCAAATTTCGACGGAATCAAAGGCTTTCTCATAGTCCACATACGCCAGACATAGTGGCAAATTGTACTCCTCGGACTTCTGCACAATTTGCCGAAGGGTATGTATGTGGTCTATGGTGCTAAAGCCTTTTCGGGAACCGGCTTGTTCGGGAGGCTGGAAGTCGTCAAGTCTGCGCGCGAGACGATTCGTAATAACTCTCGAAAACAGCACGTAGACGCGGCTCAGAAGGGAAATCGGTCTGTAGTTCTTCAAGAGAGCGTTGTCGCCTTTCTTGAAGAACAAGACCACCGCACTTCTGCTCCACGCCTCCGGTGTAATGCCACCATGGAGAACGGAATTAAAGAGCTTCTGAAGGACTTCAAGTACCGGTCTTCCACCAGCTTTCAGAAGCTCCGCTGTAATTCCATCCTCGCCTGGGGCCTTGCCGTTTTTAAGGTGCTGGAGAGCCATTTTAATCTCGCTCAGACTGACGTCCGGGATATCATCGGAATAATGTCGGATAAGACTCGCTCTTGGATCGTTACTCACACTTGCGTGCGGCTCCAACGATGACGTGTACAGCTGCCCATAGAACCTCTCAATCTCACTCAAAATCTCAGGTGCCCCGGGAACGATGCTGCCACATTCTGTCTTCAGCTTTGACAGTTGGCGCTCTCTGGCAGACAGATCTCTGGCAAAGACTTTGGAGCCTCGGTTCCGCTCGATCGCTTCTTCAATACGAGCTGTATTGAATTTGCGTAAGTCCCGCCGCATGCATTTGGAGATCTGTCTGTTCAGTTGCCTGTATGCTGTTAAATCTGTTGAAGAATGTAGCTTCATCTCCCGTCTAACAGCCATGAGATTAAGAGTGTGATCGGAGAGTTTTTGTGTTCTTCTGCGGCGGGTCTTGCAGAACTTAGCTCCGACCGCATGGACAGTTTCCACGAGCTTGTCATTCAAATCGTCCACTTCATTGCAGTCTTCTAGGCACTGAAAACGGTTTTGTAACTCGAGCTGAAAGGTTTCGGGACTTTGGAAAAGAGCACGAGGGGGACGGAGCGTTGACTTCATTAGACGAGACCTCTCCAACTTAACGTTTAGGTTCAGTGTGCCTCTAACCATTCGGTGATCGCTGCCGGTTTTCACCCTCGCGATCACTGAGACATCACTGAACAGTTGTCGTCTGGTCGTCATAATGAAGTCAATCTCATTTTTTGTCGAACCGTCGGGGCTCGACCAGGTCCACTTCCTGTGGGGCCGCTTCTGGAAGAAAGAGTTCATCATAAAGAGTCCCTCTTTCTCCATGAAGTCGGCCAGCTGCTGGCCCCTTGGGTTCCGTTGCCCTATTCCAAATTTCCCTACTTTCAGCTCACCGTTCTCTCTTGTGCCTAGTTTTGCATTGAAGTCTCCCATTAACACCGTATATTGGGTTTTGGAGGAATGCATGGCTCTAGAGATATCCTCATACATTTCCTCCACCTCCTGATCGGGGTGTGCCGAGGTTGGTGCGTAAACCTGTATGACCTTCAGCGAATACCGTTTGGTGATTCTGAGTATAAGGTACGCAACCCTCGTCGACACACTCTCAATCTTTACAACGTTGTTAACGAGAGACTTGTGGACGATAAATCCGACACCTCCTTGGGACAGATGGTCGCCCTCCCGGTAATAGAGCAAGTTGCCGGATTCGAGGATTACCGTGTCCTCCCCCTCTCTTCGGACTTCGGATAATCCTATAATATGCCAGCGTAACTTGTCTATCTCTTCTTCCAGCTCCACAATCTTCTCGTCAGTCCTCAGGGTGCGTGCGTTGTATGTTGCCAGGTCGAGTCGTCGTAGGTGGCAACCGAACCTCCACCGGAGATTCTTAGCACCCCCTGCCCCGCCGTTACCATGGTCGCCACCGTAGCCAGGAATAGCGGGGCCGCCGGGGACTGGGGGCCGTTTATTATTGTCATTGCTCATGGGGGGTATATTGCCATAGTTGCCACGCTTGGCGAGCGGGTTGGCAACCGCAGTTTTTTTATTGTTATTTTGGCTATTATCAGGAAGATGCTGCTGCCCATCTCCTGCCTGTTTCCCTTTGTCGCCTTTTACGACACCCACGGGAAGATATGGGGTAGTGGATATTCTTAACCGCCACTACACGGCATACGGATATATATATATATATATATATATATATATATATATATATATATATATATATATATATATATATATATATATAATAGGATATAGGCAGTAGCATTCTCCTGATAACAGCTAAACTTAATAAAATATGGCGGCTGCCAAGCGTGGCTATAATGACAAATATCCTCCCTATGAGCACAATCTATGGGGAACATATGTTCTGCTCAGGACTGTAATAAACAGATGAATAGATGATAATTAATTTTATTAGATCCCTCTATTAAATATAAATTTTCACAAATGCCATCTTTCCAGCCGTTTTTCGAGTAATCAATTATTACAAATATACACTAAAAATAATTAGAAAAATATAAGTAAATACTGGATAAATCGTCAAATTGAGATTACGAGTAATTATTAAAATGATTTATGCCTAGCCTACTACTTGCACTAGATCGGAAAAAGACTCTGTATTGGAAAGCGAAAAAAAAAGAGAAACTCTACAGTTATGACTCTAACGAATGCCTAGTCAAAGTATCTGACTAATACGAGTACACTTGATTTCGATTTCGGTTCCAATCATAGAATATTATAATATAATATAGTATTCTATGATTCCGATTAAGGGTGTTACCACACCAATCGATCAACGTCGATCGACGATTGAACAACGTTTTATCGACCAGTATCAATCGATCGACATCGATCCAAGTCGTAAAAGGCATCACCTTACTACCTACTACGCGTGATAACACCCTAAAATGATTAATATGATTAATATACGGTCTTGATTTCGAATATCAATTAAATTTGTGCAAAAACAGAGATTGATTTTTGGTTTGTGTAGTGATCATCATCTCGTCTACGATACTGCATCTAATGTAGACAGTGCATGCTCAGACTGCAAACCTATTAACGCTGGTGTTCCACAAGGCTCCGTGCTATCACCAACGCTGTTTCTTCTGCATATCAATGATATTTTGCAAACCGGTAACATTCATTACTATGCGGATGACAGCACTGGTGATGCTCTATACACCGGCCATGCAAATATTTCTCGGGAAAACGTCGCCGAGCACCGGAACAAACTTGTGTCTGAAGTCGAGTCTTTGCTGAATAAAGTCTCGGATTGGGGGCGACTAAATCTAGTCCAGTTTAATCCTCAGAAGACACAAGTTTGCACGTATACCGCTAAAAAGAACCTCTTTGTCGTATCTCCTCAGTTTCAAGGCACTCCCCTTGTTGCCTCAGCCAGTATCGAAATCCTCGGCGTCGACATGTCGAGTGACGTGCAGTATCGTGGTCACTTTGAAGAGACGGCCGAATTGGCCTCCAAAAAGCTTGGCGTGCTTCGCAGAGCGGGACAGTATTTCATGCCGGCACAACGCCTGCAACTTTACAAGGCGCAGGTTCGGCCTCACTTGGAATACTGCTCCCATCTTTGGGCTGGGGTTCCCCAGTACCAGCTCCTTCCACTTGACCGCATCCAGCGCAGAGTGGCTGGAATTGTATACGATCGAGTCCTTTTCGATCGACTCGATTCATTGGCGCTGCGAAGAGATGTTGCATCCCTTTGCATTTTCTTTCGCATCTACCACGGGGAGTGCTTTGAGCAATTGTTCGCATTAATCCCAGCCGCCAAATTTCACGAAAGCACATCGCGGCAGAACTCCCGATACCATCCACACCATCTGGATGATTGGCGGTCTACCACTATGCGATTTAGAAGATGTTTTCTTCTTCGCACAACTTCCTTGTGGAATCGATTACCACCAGCGATATTTCCGGACCGATACGACTTAGGGACCTTCAAGAAAAGAGCCTACTCCTTTTTAAAAGGCCGGCAATGCATCTGTGATTCCCCTGGTGTTGCAGTTTTTCATGGGTGGTGGTAGTCACAATCAGGTGAGCCGATGCTCGTTTGCCCCTTCTAATATAAAAAAAAACTTAGATAGATGCCAATCATTATAAATAAACATCTATTTCTTTTTAATAAAATATCATTTTAAAATACATTAATATATTTTTTACCATCTTTTATTAATCTACCTCCGATTTATACAACACTTACTTAGTTTACTTTTAGTCGCATCCAAAGATATAACCTGCTGGAAACATCCGTTAACGCCTGCAATCGATCTAGACCAAACATCAAACGGACGTTCAGAATGATACCTTTGTCGCAGGATAGTTCCCTTTATACCACTTATTGTATCTGTTTTTGATGTGTTTTGCAAGGTGTTGTTTACCAGCCACCTAAGTCCAGCCTGTTAAAATAATATTAATCAGGTTTTCTAATAGAATAAGGGTAACAAACAAGCACACAATCAACGTGATGGTAAGTAGATGGATTGGCCCATAGGCAACTACATCTGTATTTGATTAAGATTCAAAATGCTGAATGCGTTGTTATCCCTGAGGACTTAAATAGAATTTTTCTATTTTTTGTATTCAGTAAAAATAGTCTCCGGATCTCTTTACACACAGCATACCAAACACAGTTGAATGAAGATGATATTTCACGTTGGTAAGGGCGTGGTGCTTCCTAGATCGAGCCGAACCATTGTTACTATAACCACAATATAGCTGCAGCGTGGCACTACCACGTATAACCCAATACCTTACCTAATATTATGAAAATAAAAACAGACTAAAGACAAAATAAAATGTACTATAAGCCGTATATTAATATTTAGTTTGACTTTACTAGATGGAAGGATTCCTTCCATTTCTCTGTACCTATTTGTCTTGCTATGTAACACCGTTTTAAACCGAAACACACATCCACTACTTGGAACGTGAAGAGAAAGAGAGGCAGTGTAATTTCAGACTGTGATGCAACTTATCTTAATGTTTTTAATGCTAACGCAACTATAACCTTCGTTGTCTTGAAGTTTATTTATTTTTTTATTTATTTATTCTTTTTTTTACATCTACCTTATAATAAGGGATATAAAGGGCGGACTTAATGCCTTGTGGCATTCTCTACCAGTCAACCCTGGATGATTTGAGAAGCTGTGGTAGGTGCAACACCACTCATTAATTAATAAATAAGTAAAAACATTATATCTTATAACAAAAAGCAAATAAATAAAATATTTTTAAACTATACAAACTTAATATTATCTACTTAGTAATAAACAGAAAAAAAATTAATAGTAAATATATAAACGGATAAATTATACTTATATATACAAAATATAAACGGATATAATATACATATATATACAAAATCTCTAAATAAATATAAAATAATATAACACAAAAATAAAATAACATGATGCATATTAAAATACATATTATACAAAATATCAATTACAAAGCGAAAGAGTGAGAAAAACAAAAATCGGATAAATCAGGTGGTATTATTCTTGTTAAAGAATTCTCGAACAAGTCTTTTAAAATATTGTTTGTTACTGGTTTTTTTTATATGAACAGGCAAGGCATTCCAGAGCAGTATGGACTGCACAGTAAAAGAGGAATTAAAGAAACCACTCTTATGTGGTGGTTCATCATCATCATTACAGCCCTTCACAAGTCCACTGCTGAACATAGGCCTCCCCCAAAGAATGCCACAAAGCACGGTCCCGAGCCACCTGCATCCATCGACTTCCTGCAAATCTTACCAGGTCGTCACTCCATCTAGTGGGGGGACGCCCTACACTTTGTCCGTTGGGAAACACTATTGAGGTCATTGAGCATAGTGCTTAGGTCCTCCAGCGATTCTGCCATAAGGACTATATCGTCGGCAAATCGAAGGTGAGTCATGTACTCGCCATTGATGTTGATACCGTATCCTTTCCAGTCCAGAAGCTTGAAAACATCTTCCAATGCAGCGGTAAAGAGTTTCGGGGATATGACGTCACCCTGTCTTACAACTCTCTCTCTGCAATTGGATAGGTTTCGTACTCTGGTTCTGTACTCGGATAGCCATCGTAGCCCTACTGTACAAGCACTTCAACACTTCGATATACCGACAGTCAACTTGGCATCGCTGAAGGGACTGCAGCACCGCCCAAATTTCGACGGAATCAAAGGCTTTCTCATAGTCCACATACGCCAGACATAGTGGCAAATTGTACTCCTCGGACTTCTGTACAATTTGCCGAAGGGTATGTTTGTGGTCTATGGTGCTAAAGCCTTTTCGGAAACCGGCTTGTTCGGGAGGCTGGAAGTCGTCAAGTCTGCGCGCGAGACGATTCGTAATGACTCTCGAAAACAGCACGTAGACGCGGCTCAGAAGGGAAATCGGTCTGTAGTTCTTCAAGAGAGCGTTGTCGCCTTTCTTGAAGAACAAGACCACCGCACTTCTGCTCCACGCCTCCGGTGTAATGCCACCATGGAGGACGGAATTAAAGAGCTTCTGAAGGACTTCAAGTACCGGTTTTCCACCCGCTTTCAGAAGCTCCGCTGTAATTCCATCCTGGCCTGGGGCCTTGCCGTTTTTAAGGTGCTGGAGAGCCATTCTAATCTCGCTCAGACTGACGTCCGGGATATCATCAGAATAATGTCGGATAAGACTCGCTCTTGGATCGTTACTCACACTTGCGTGTGGCTCCAACGATGACGTGTACAGCTGCCCATAGAACCTCTCAATCTCACTCAAAACCTCAGGTGCCCCGGAAACGATGCTGCCACATTCGGTCTTCAGCTTTGACAGTTGGCTCTTTCTGGCAGACAGATCTCTGGCAAAGACTTTGGAGCCTTGGTTCCGCTCGATCGCTTCTTCAATACGAGCTGTATTGAAGTTGCGTAAGTCCCGCCGCATGCATTTGGAGATCTGTCTGTTCAGTTGCCTGTATGCTGTCAAATCTGTTGAAGAATGTAGCTTCATCTCCCGTCTAACAGCCATGAGATTAAGAGTGTGATCGGAGAGTTTTTGTGTTCTTCTGCGGCGGGTCTTGCAGAACTTAGCTCCGACCGCATGGACAGTTTCCACGAGCTTGTCATTCAAATCGTCCACTTCATTGCAGTCTTCTAGGCACTGAAAACGGTTTTGCAACTCGAGCTGAAAGGTTTCGGGACTTTGGATTAGAGCACGAGGGGGACGGAGAGTTGACTTCATTAGACGAGACCTCTCCAACTTAACGTTTAGGTTCAGTGTGCCTCTAACCATTCGGTGATCGCTGCCGGTTTTCACCCTCGCGATCACTGAGACATCACTGAACAGTTGTCGCCTGGTCGTCATAATGAAGTCAATCTCATTTTTTGTCGAACCGTCGGGGCTTGACCAGGTCCACTTCCTGTGGGGCCGCTTCTGGAAGGTTGTCCGAAATAAAAGAGTGTCTCTGCTTGTACATTTGTGACACTTAAATATCTCATACGCATTGGAAAATTATCGTTAAAATTGTTATTTCCATTCGATTTTTTCAATCAATAAATATACCTATATATATATATATATATATATATATATATATATATATATATATATATATATATTGCGAAACGATAGCCTATAATGGCGGCGTAAGATAATCCCATCAACCCTATATACTCCAAATCATCCGATGGATATCGTAAGAGGCGATAGAGGAAAATGAAACAGCAGATGCAACTCAAAATATTATTGCAGTTGCGAACTCGCCTGCGAAGCGTGGAAACTTTGGCAAGTTTCCCTCTTGTGAGACAATCTTTGGGCGAAGCCAATGTTTAGCAGTGTGCTTTTTTTATAAAAGGAAAGTTTGAAAGGTACAGTATAGATGTCCAGAAATGTATCAAGTGTCATTAAGGCAGGTACAATAAAGTAGCACTTTATTACTTCTCCATACAAAACGCTTTAACCAACTATAAATGGTTGGATTTCGACTAGACGCAATACCAGTACTAGTATATTTAAAAAAGTCACATTTTTTATTAAGAATCAATATAAATCTTACCGTATCAGTTTCACTGAATTCGACTTTATAGCAAGTAATTTTTTTCCGAGTGTCTGGAAACAGCTTTTCTGGTATTATGGCTACCACATGCCACGGGCCGATCACATCTTTCATCGTAAAATTGGCTTGAAAATCATTACATGTTTTGTTTTTAATTTTCGCCTCAGTTTTCGTTAAAAGGAGCAGGTATAACAGCGTGAAAAAGATCGCCATGTTTCTGCACAGCGATGTTCCGAAGTCGCGTTAGTCGCTGGACTTAAAGTGGACATAAGTGATAATGTTAGGGCATTAATCTTTCTGCACAAGACAAAAGAATACTTAGACTTGGCACCAATAGAAAAACATAATAAATTAGTAATTATCATTTAGGAATATTTATGTTTTATTGATACTAACTAAAGCGACTATAGGTGCGGCCCGCGAACTCAAAAGGTCGAGGGTTCGAACCCGCCATTCGACTATTGTCGTGAACCAGGACTGATTACAGAGAATATGAATAGCATTACTAGTAATATATATACATAAATATATAAATTATAATTGATAGTTGGAACCTTTAAAGCAACTATTAATAGGTTACCATGTGTATACTATGTTATTAAATATTAAAATAAAAAAAATATTTTTATGGTGTAGCCACGCTGCAGTGTGCAGTGGCTGCAGCAGGATCGGTCGGTTCGGCCGGGGAAGGATCATGCTTGTACAGAATACCGCCGCAAATAACAGTATAATTCCGTAGTGCTTCGTATGGAGAGTAACCAGAACTGGATATCTTATTACTTATACTTACTTATACTTATACACAAATATACAAATAAAGAAGCATTTCATCTCAGTCCCCCGGCGTCATAACGTATCTGCATTTTGCCTTTAACATCTGTAGGAGTGTGTTTGTTTGACTCTCACTTTTAATCAAATTTTGATTTGTCTACATTAAATTTTTTTATTTAAAAGACGATAACAATATATTACTTTTATGGTTTTCTTTCTATAATATATAAGATTTTTATTTAGTTTCTCTTGTCTCGTTGTCTGTCTGTAATCAAATCTTGCAAGTTAAATTTGACACACTTCCCGGTTACCGATTGAGCTAAAATTTTCCACAATGTATATCGCGTGACAATGCAATATTATGATGACATGGAGCTAATCTGATGATGAAGCTGGAAGGTGGCCATAGGAACTCTGTAATGAAACGATGCAACTGCGAATGCGACTCGTTTGTTTCGTGTTGACAAGTACTTTGTCTTTAGATGGTATCCAGGGTCTGATTATGGATCTGGAAGGTGACCTTAAAAAGTCCGTAATAAGACGGTACAATTCCATCGAGTTTGGGCAAGTTTGATTCGTCTTGACGAGTACTTTGGTCTTAAATGGTAACCAAGGTTTAATGATGATGATGGAAGGTAGCCATAGGATCTACGTAATAAAACGACGTAACCACATCGAGTTTGGGCTCGTTTGATTTGTCCTGATGAGTACTTTGGTCCTAGATAATATCCACGTGCAACCCCATCAGATTTGGGAAAATAAATTCGTTCCATTCGACCCAATGCCAAGGTGAGCACGTGCCGAGCACTGAATGGTATGAGGATATATAAATAGGGGTATATAAACTAAAGCCCTTATCCTCCGAAAATGGACCTCTAGGGGGGATGGACCATTTATGTCCTATAGTCGGGGCGAACAACGTCGTAGTAAATCCCGATTCATAAATACTAAAAACTTAAAAATAAAAATAAAGAAAAATATTTTTTTAAAACAAGCTTTTATAACTTGTTAATAAAAAGAGCTATAAAGTTAAAAATAATATAATTCTGATAAAAAATATACCATTTTATAGGTACATTATATCCCATTTTCACAGTAACTGTGTATGTGTAGTAGCGGTGTAAGAATATTCACTACTCTGTATCAGTGATACAGAGTAGGTTGTCGTAAGAGGCGACAAAGGGAAAGAAAGTAGGAGATGGGCTGGAGCGTCTTTCTGATAAACAACTTAAACTTATAAAAAACTGCGGTTGCCAGGTCACCATGGCAACTATGGCATAATCCTCCCTTTGAGGAGTTTGACTAGTAGGGAAGGCTTATATTTAGCGGTGGACTTTTATAGGCTGTTATGGACGATAACGGATTTTTTGTTACAACGTATTAGTAAGCTTTTAGCAATGCATAGGTAAATGGTATTTTTCATAGCAAAATTAAATTATTGTTATTTTTTTAGTCTTTTTATTAACGCAAAGTAATAAAGCTTGCCTTTAAAAAAAATATTTTGCTTCATTTATATTTATAGTATTATTGTACCTTGGTGAATTTACGTTTTCATTAAATTTAATTTTACGATAAAAATGTTCACCTACATACATAATTAGTGCCAATAAAATATCTATTCTGTTTCTTTATTTACTTACATTGCGTCCACTTCTTATAGGATGGGTCTGATAGGATTGGAAAATCCAAAAGAATATATCAAGATAATTTTTTTAGTTTTATTTTTGAGTGAGAGTTTTTTAGACTAGCTGTTCCCCGCAACTTGGAATTTGTTAAGATTGGATTTCATGGGTTTTAATTTTTTAAATTTATAATTTTTTTTTTTATTATAAGTACCGTAAATACTTTCATATGCATTTAGTATAAAACTGTTATTTTGACATTACAAACAGACACTTTTATTTATTTGTATAGATTGTATAGATTAGATTTTCTTTTATTTTTGTATTATTGTTTTTATTATTGTTCTATTTATGATATGATAAAATTTGACACTATATTACTTTGCAATATATAGGTAAGCCAAATAAATATCTGTTCTGTTTCTTTCTATAAGTACTTCATTTTGTCCAATGGCTGTCACGGGAGCGAGGAAAAAACCAGAAATATATTATAATCCCTGATAAATGGTGCTATAACTATGTCAAATTTAAAATAATCAGATCCTTGAAGGCGAATAGAGTTGAATTTGTGGAAAGCCTGGTGCTTTAAAAGAAAAGACATCTGGTAGGATTTTGATCGCGACAAGTCCTGGAAAAGACTATACCCGTATGGCTGTTAAAAAAGGGATTTTTTTGGATATTCTAGTACTTTCTATGTGCTGGTGCGTAATAACGACCGCATTATTAGATGTGACGGTAGGATGTAGTTTTGTAAATAGGTTAATATCCGATGTCTGCGAACTTGCAATGATTCAGTTAATGTATCAAACAATTGACAGGCACCGGCGGTTACATCGCAATTGGCCGTGAGCATGAAATGACTTCAAAGTAACTTTTGTACTGATCAGACTTGAAAAACTTTGTTATGTTTTTTTTTATAATAATAATATTATGTAACCTAAAATAAGATATTAAGATAAAAATGACACTGGAAAATTTAACCAATAAAATTATTAATAGGAATTATAAGTGCTAATTTACCACGTGCTTGGCAGTGAAGGAAAACTGAGGAATAAAATATTTCAAGGAGATGGGAAAGCCGCTATAAGTCTCACAGAAATGTGAGGAGACATTAGCCCAGTAATGGGACGTATCACGTATATAAGCTGTAACTTCTTCGCTTTACTGGAACATTAATACCATACAACGAAACTAAACGTTAAACCTCAAAACGGAGCCAATTATGACTTATTATTGGAACGAAGTTCTTTATCGGACGGTACGGGTTTGGCGGATTGGAGCTAGGTGACAAAAAAGTGTAAAATTTTTTCGTCACTACCCCTTGTGTCATAGTGTAGATAGCCTTGGCGACGAAATAAGGAAGTGAGATGGAATAATATCCATCTCCCTCACACTATTCTTATCTTGACATGAAAGAAATATTATTTTATTTCAAATGAAGCTTCATTTTAATAGACGCTAGTAAATCATTTATTTGTATGTTTAATCAATAATGTAATAGGTACCTACGTTTATCAATAATAATATACTATGCAAGGAACTTCGTTCCAACCGAGTGTTCCACGACACTCACGCATTTTTTATTATTAACAATTACACGTATTATTACTTTAGGTTTGATCCTCGTGGACCGTATGAGAAAATCTACCGTCCCTTCTTGTTCTATAGGTGTCGCAAAAGGCGGCTATAGGAAATTAGTGAAAGATTTCGTCGCTTCATAATCTCATGGCTGTTAGACGGGAGATCAAGCTGCAGTCTTCAGCAGATTTGACAGCATACAGGCAACGGAACAGACAAATCTCAAAATGCACGAGACGTGACTTGAGCAACTTCAATACAGCTCGTGTTGAAGAAGCGATCGAGCGGAACAAGGGCTCCAGTCTTTGCCATAGAGCTGTCTACCAGAAAGAGCCATCTGTCGAAGCTGAACACCAAATTAAGCAGCATCGTTTCCGGGACACCTGAGATTTTGAGTGAGATTGAGAGGTTCTAAGGGCAGCTGTACACGTCATCGTTGGAGCCACACGCAAGCGTGAGTAACGATCTAAGAGCAAGTCTTATCCAACACTATGCCGATGATTTCCCGGACGTCAGTCTCAGCGAGATTAGAATAGCTCTCCAGCGCATTAAAAATGGCAAGTCCCCGGGCGAGGATTGAATTACGGCTAACCGACATAGCTCAAAGGATTAGTAAGCTGAAGTGGCAATAGACCAGCCATATACCTCGAAGAACCGACAACCGATGGAAAAGAAAGGTTCTTGAGTGCAGTACGAGACTGGCAGGCGAAGTATAGGGCGTCCACCCACTAGATGGACTGACGACCTGTTAAGAAATGCAGGAAGTCAATGGATGCAGATCGCTTGGAACCATGCTTTATGGCGTTCTTTAAGGGAAGCCTATATTCAGCAGCGGACTTGTGAAAGAAAGAACTTAATTTCATGTTTGTGTGAAACAAACTAAATTATAGATTAAAAAAAAACTAAATTAAGACGTTCAGTTATATTATGTCAAAACACCTGTAATTATAATTTGTCATTTTATTTTCTTATTAATTAGACATGCAATATTAAAATTATAAAATTGATACTTTATATAACAGTTTTATAAATTTTGTAACAAAAGACTAAATCTTGGTTTCTAAAATCGCCATTCCTTTAAAATTATCAGTCTATAAATGAACTCGAAGACATCTCCACCAATATCCGTCTTTCTTAAAGAAAATACGGTCATTGTTTAAAAAGTCGAAACCTACATACATTTACTTGAACAAAGGCAGTAAAAACAGTTTATGGACTTGTTATTGCCGTCCCAACGGACAT